CGATCACTTCATTATTATATAATGAGAAATTAATTTTGAAAGTACGTAAGTGGGTTTATCTTTACTCTCTGTAAAAAAATTATTTAATATTTAATTTCAAATAAATGATTTTTGTTTTTGAGGTTAAAGATTATAGTATTTTACACAATTATTGCACAGGCACTGCTACTATATGTACATAATCAGGTTGTAATTTGATAACGTTTGTTTGAGTCATTGAAGATCTCATGTTTCTAAAGAAAAATCATTAAATTTTATAGTGAAACATATGGAGATAACAAACATTATTGCAGATCAAAAAACCATAAAATAATGCAAAATAGGATCAGAGCGAACACGGACCTCCGAACAGTAGAGGTGGGATCATGTGCCATCGAGAAATGAGCATCCCCTGCTGACCAGTCACACCCGCCGTGTGCTCCTTGTCATGATCGGGAAATACGGAAAAATCCGTCGTCAATTCGGTGCATATATAATGGACTAACAATAAGCATAATAAACGTAAGTCAGCATTTAACTCAATGATAAATTTTGTTTGCTGACAAGGTCATTGTATTAACCTTAAAACTTCCAAAATGATGACTTTAAAGGAGTCTGCTGAAATTCTTGTTTCATCAAACTTGTCAAAAATTTACCTCGGTTTAAAAATTGTTAATACGTAGAACATGCTTTTGCGCATCTCATCAACAGAAATATGTAAATTCAGTATGTGAGTGATGAAGGTATATTGCTGCACAAGTAAGTACAGATGACGATAAAAAAGTTAAAATAATCACATTTATCATAGAACTTGGTTGTTAGATGACCATGAACGTGTTTTTCAGATAAAATATCTAAATATGAAACAGATGTGTCAGACTCTGTGATATCTTTGACTTTCATCTCAAGCTCACTTGAATGTATTGTATCGACATAAGGATGGAAATTGCCATTGTTAATTGACAATACGTCGCTAATATATCTAAATGTCGAGTTGAAGGCCACGGTATAAAATATTGCACAAATTGTGCTTCATTTGAATACAAAAACAAGTCTGTTTTAAAGGGGCAGAGTTGATACTTATGGTAATTTCAATAGATTGTTGGATGACCTTGTCTTCATAAACAACACATACATGACTGTATAGATATTGTCAATGGAAAACTCAAGCATCTTTTTAGATGTCGACTTCAGAAAACGTGTGTACAATCACACTGCTTTTCAACAAAATAATTTTGCAAATGACCGATGACAAGGTACCAGGTAGGTAAATTTTTGAGTTCCATTTTTATTGAAAAAGCAGCTGTCATTGATATCTGGACTTTAATTTATCGTGGGGAATGGTTGTGTAAAAAGTTGAAAAGTCTTAACCCAACAGGCACACAACGTTGTTCAAACGTTGAATATTAGTTGAAGTAGGGTTTAGACGTTGATAAATCTAGATACAATATTGATTCAACGTTGACTTTTCAACGTTGAAAATTTAACGTTGAATCAACATTGAATTCAAATTGAGTTAAATTGCCAACATTGATTCAACATCGGATCTTCGCTGAGCGGGCCAATATCCTATTTTTCGCTGAAAGATAATTTGGACTATGATGGTGTCAGACTATAACACTGTCGGACCATAACGAGGTCGGAATTGCGAAGACGCACAACCGTATATCATTACTAACTATTATAACTAACAAGGATGGTAAATATACAAATTTTACACAATCAATGATAAATATGAATTCAGAACGAATTTGCCAAAGTACGAATGAAGAGGATACGCAGGAGGACATCCGGAAAATATTCAAAAAGACGGCATAATACAACCCTCAGGACTCAACACCAAGATTTAATAATAAAAGAAAATACTCTTTAAAGAAAACATTTCGGCATGTCAGAGTACTAGTATCATTGAAGAGACATATTTTGTCGAAATGCATATTTGGTGCATCAAAAGTGGTACCGTATAAGATTTGCATCTTACCTTGAAATGGTTTCATGTTCTGGACTATTTCATGACCACGTGTGAAAATACAAAACGTTTGTAAATTCTCGGGTTTTGTAACATGATTAATTTATAAAATGTATTATGGTGAAAATTATTGTAACACAATTAAATATTGATAGGAAATTAAACACTTACTGTTTACAATATAGTTATTTTTTTTTCATATAGTGATATTTAGGGGTCCTGACCCTCTGCTAAAAATTTCACCTTAGAAAGTTTTAAATTTGTAATATTGATTTTCACGAACAACAATAACATGACCCACAAGGAAAATAGTTTGAAGTACATGTATAAAGCGCTGGTTATTTTTTCAGAAATGATTTTTATGTGCAGATCATGATATGAAGAAATTGAACACAGAGAATAGAAAGAGTAACGATTTATTACCACAACATTAAATATTATATATGAGGTGCATATGAAAATAAAACTTACTATTATACCTATTTAAATCATGTTCTAAAACATCATGGAGCGATGTTTCCTAGGTCAGAAAATCACATTGTTGTTTGTGGTTGTATAAGAAAAAAATATATCTGTGATGAGGATCTTTCTTGTAAATATTTCTTCATGTGAAAAAAAGTCATTCTAATTAAAATACTGTATTAAGTACTTGAAATATTAAACCATTTTTAAAATGGTACTTAAAAAAATACAATTAATTCAATTCATAATGCATTTGATGTTGGATTTAAATGTTTTATTGTTAAAAATAATTAAAAAAAAACTACAAAGAAACTTGCAAAAGAAATAGAAAGTAATGTTTCAATCCTGCGATTGGTCTCATCAGAGTGACTACTCAGAGGTCTCAAAAATTGATTAAGTGAACTGTGAGAAGTATTACTATATTGCACTTTGAAAGTTATCTGTCTTTACAGAGGGTAGCTATCCCTTCAACAGTTACGCAGGCATCTTAGCAACCGTGCAATAAAACGGTTGACATTTTAAGAAAGTATATTATTACTATATGACACCCTCGTTTCCAAAATATATAATTGAATAAATGTTGAATCATCTGTTGTTCCAACATATAATCAACGTTGAATATCAATGTTGATTCAATGTTAAGACTTCAACGTTGATACACATTTTCAAAATCTAACATAAAACCAATGTTGAATCAACATAGAAAAACAACGTTGATTCAAAGTTTATTCAATTTTGTGTGCCTGCTGGGAAGATTTTAAGCTGTTGATTTTGATAAAATCATGTGATTTCAAATTGCCAAAAGTCCCTTGGAATTTTTAAGTATCCACATCTGATTTACATTACTGCTTGAATATATTGTTGCACAGATGAAATAAAATTTAGGGAAAAAAGTAATATATTATAAATAGATTTCTTTATTTATAAAATAAACATGTTATGAAGTTTGACAATTGTTGAAAAGAAATCTGACTTTTTACTCGTTGAATTAATCAGCTAACGATGTAGATAACGAGTCGGTAGATAATACGGTAGCGATTTTGAATGACCTCTCAATTCGGAAGTAGCATTATTATGGTAAAAAAAGAAATGGTGCTGGTCGATCAAAATTATTTCTTTGCTTTTTTATTTCACCTTTTCAAAGTACCCTCAGTTATTAAAGTGAATTCTATTACTTTTTTTTCTTTTACATTTTATTACTTTTTTGTGTAATATAAATTTGACATAAGGATGTCAAAGTGATATAATTTTCAATAGTATTAATTTTAATATAATTTCAGATTTTGTATACGGATACAGAATCTAACTTACCGTTTTTGAGCTCAATTTATTTACAGAAATTTATTTATTTAATTATTTCAAAGGTAAACCTAACAATGGTAAAATACAGCAACATGGATTTAAACACATTTTACGTTTCAGGTAACTGCGCTATATATAAACACAGGTAACCCGGATATTTAAAACTACGATGGCCGATAGCGGCCGTCGATTTGCACTAATGTTATGTGTGTAACGTGTATAGCATTTTCAACGAAACCCAATGACAACTTACACTTGAAACAAAAAGTGTACAAAGTGTACAGCGTCACTGCAAATTTCCATGTACACTCTACACCAACTTTTGTGTAAAGTGTACATGGAAAGTTTCATGTACACTCTACATCTAAAGGTGGTATCAAGTAACAAAATAAAGAAAAATTCTTGTCTTTTCCCTTTTTTTTCTTCCCCCACATTGGTACCCATCTCCTATTTTAATTGGTTCGTATAATTTACTCACGTGTTTCTTAGATTCGCATTAAGCTTTTGCGGCAAACTTGAAGATTCTGGAGGAAACTCCGAAAAGGCAACGTGTAATTTATAATAAATGATAAAATTCAATCAATATAATATTCAAATTTATGCAGAATTGAAAGGAGAGAAATAAATTGTCTTTTTGTTGTTAGTAGGTCTTTGTGCATTCCAATACGTAATTCGGGGATGATGATGAAACAAGTATTTTTTTAATAAAAGTATTGGTGACTTGCTTAATTACAAATGCTATTTTGCCACAATAGAAATTACGGCGGGATCCCTGATGAAGGCAAGGCCGTGATTCAGATTTTCAATACACCAATACGATATAAAACCGCCGAAACACACTGCTGTAAAAACAATAATGTCAATAAGAAATATATAACTTATTCAAAACAACGTCAAAATCAAAGAGAAATAAGAAATATCACAACGCTGTGTCGGGTCCTATGAATTTAAAATTGTGTGGCTGATGATTGTTGTCTATATATGCTCTTGCAGGTACCAATGTGGGGGAAGAAAAAAGGGAAAAGACAAGAATTTTTCTCTTTATTTTGTTACTTGATACCACCTTTAGATGTAGAGTGTACATGAAACTTTCCATGTACACTTTACACAAAAGTTGGTGTAGAGTGTACATGGAAATTTGCAATGACGCTGTACACTTTGTACACTTTTTGTTTCAAGTGTAAGTTGTCATTGGGTTTCGTTGAAAATGCTGTACACTTTACACACATAACATTAGTGTAAATCGACGGCCGCTATCGGCCATCGTATAAAACCAGGTGACGGTTACCTCAGACACATTCAATTTGAATCGTAAGGGAAGGAAAAACTCATCTTATGTGGAATTATGAAAAGCTATATCTTTGGTTTAGTGGCAGAAGGATGATTTTGTAAGGTAATTTTAATTAAGTGTATTACTTATATATGATATTAAACTACATACATAAATCTTCTACTTTAATATTAGTTCTACTTTCGTTTTAGGTTCATGTAATTTGTCCTTCTTCATGTTCCTTAAACTTACGCGATTAAACATGTGGAACATGTTTTCATTTCATATTTTTTTGTATAACATGCCTCTAACATACAATTTACAAAATGAAAGCATTAAAACCATTTTATATTTGGCAGAGACACTGGTACCTGAAGACACTATAAACCCAATTCCACATTCACCTTTCGCTTCTTCCCATCGAATCTATAATCCAGGCTTAAAGAGATATCTATAATTTACTGTTCTCGAAAATTCAACTATTTGATACAATGATATGAATATAGGAAATGATTCTCCATTCTTAGCTTAGTGACAAAGTGTAATATTGTTCGGGCTTTTCTTTATTTTCTTCTCAAGTTTCAATTTTTTCCCAGGAGAAATGGAAACGTATGTGGATTCCTGTCCCCAGAACATCACAGAGGTATTAGAATCCTCCGTCAGGCTGGGGTGTGGTCAGGACAAGTATGGGAACGATCAGTATCTATGTGTCCCTAACACAGACAAAACAGGACTTATAGAACTGTGTTACAATGGAACCATGGGATTAATAAAAAGAGGTTAGAAATAAAAATAACCTTAAAACTATTATATTTTATGTTTGAAATTTCAAACGAAAATTGCAATCATCACACAATGAATACTAAGACGATCCGATAAAATCTGCAATAATACAAAGTTCTGTTCAGTTTCATTGTTAATATTACGTATGTAATTCTGAAAAATAAAAATAAAATAAATAAAATATTTAGGAAAACGGAAATGAATTACAATGCATTTTGTTTGTAACATACCTAAAACTTTCCGAAATGTACAAAGTTACAAAATGCTAGTTTAAAATAAAAGAAAATTACTGTCTTTAACATAAGCATCATGTTCTTTTTAAATGCATAATTTTATAGGAAAACTGAAAGAAAGCATCAAACCTTTTTTTCACTAAAGAGAACATGACAGCACATGAAGCTGTATACTGTGAATTTTCCAGCATAGATCTGAGGTTTCCTTGCATACGAAATCATGATATGATAACAATCTGTGAAAAATCTTACTGAAGTCTTTGTTTAATAAAATTCAAATAAAATTTCGATTACAGTTAAGTGACATGCCAATTGAAAAATCTAATGTGGCTTCTTTCATACACCCACAAGAGTATTCTTTTATTACTAATCATTTATATTTATGATTCTTACACATGTATATCTACACTTATAAATTGAAGGCAACTGTTTGGAAACCGATGGAGAAAATCTTTACTGGAACAACTGTCTTGGATTTTTATCAGGTTGTCCTGAAAAGGAGTACCGCAGCAATGAAATATACCAATGTAAGATCCTTGAACAATAACAATATTAAGAAGATAAAAATGTTTAAATTAAAACCGTCATGCTATCGTTTGTTTTGAATCTGATTTATCAAATCTTTTGTTTCATTAAATGATGATTTATGATTTAGATTCTGCATGTCAAAGCATCAATACACAGTACAATTGCTATCTTGCTGAATCATCATGTCCTAATATGTAAGTAAATAAGAATGAAGTAATTTCAATTGTAGATATTTTTTTTTTACATATGTTTTAATTTTGTCTTTAAAAACTTGATTTATTAGCTAAATATTTCTATATGAAACTTAAGTTTACTTTAATCAATACCATGGTAATGTACAAAGTAAACCTAACTTGAAAGAAAGCAGTTTCAGTCCTGGAGCAGTCCTAAAATTTGATAAATGGTATTGCATAGCTTTCCTAGAAAACACCTTCTGGAAGATCTAAGAAGAGTTCATAAATTAAATTGAAAGACCTCACTCCTAAATGAGATTATCAATAGAAGTTTTCAGTTTTATACAGGCAGGTTAAAAGATGCCTACCTAACACGCATATTTTGAGAAGTAAATGAGTACTGTATTTATTGTACATTGCTTTTATATCTTGACTATTGTTTTATTCATAAAGAGGCCTCATCTTATACCTGAAAATGGACCTTAATTTAGACCTGTACTATCACCCAGTGTAACTAGACAGTGATATTCTTTATCGTGAAAATGCTTTCTGGTATAGAGAATCTCAGTTTTAAGATTTCATCAGAGAGACACTTTATCTTCACTTCTAGTGTCGGGCTGTGTCGTTATGGTATACTATACCCTTATTTATTTATTTTTTTTTATTTTCAAATTATTTGGGACAAGATATTCTGGAGATTTTAACAAATGTGTAATGAATGCAGACATCTTTTAAATGATATTGTAATATATACAGTAAAATAATTACAGTAATTTACTTATATAACCCATTTTAAGTATTTGGAACCCTCAAAACAATTGTACACGTACAATTGTAGTTTAGCATTCATTTTCTCTCTATTGGTTCAAGCGTAGCCATAATTCAAGAAAATGATTTGTATGGCCTCAATGGTTCAAATAAGAGATCCATGGGAAACATCGCTCACCTGAGCACGTTTGATAAGAGATAGCTGAACTCACTTCAGTATTTAAAACTCTAAATTAATAATTATATACGTCTACCAAAATTTGATCCAAAGGATATTTCGAAACGAGTATGACTAATCATGATTTTGTTGTTCTGTTACCAACCTATACCCATAGGATGCATATTTGATTTAACTTGATTCCACAATACCTAATGACGCAACCAAAAATATGACAAATCATGACATTCCTATTATTGAGAGTAGAAGTTAAAATGATTTTTATGCATTCCTATGTATAAATTTGAGCCCTTATAATGACCCCACTCTACCCAAGGCCACAATGCATCGAAATTAAATGTGCGCTACCTGATAATGCTTCCATACTTCTGGTGTTTCGGAAGTCCATGTTTATTCTGCTTCTGCTTGTACATTTATGCAGCATTGTTAAGGCTTGAAAAAGTAGGCGGGGCCTAATTTATACGGGAAAAGTTTACTGTGACGTCACACAAAAAACGACTTTTATGTATTCCTCATAATACCAGAAAATGAAATAATTTGCAACGTTATATTGTATTAGCATAATGAACAACAATTTAACTTATCAATGCATGAAAAAAAAAAGTTGCTAGTTATATCCCATACCGTTGGCATAAACAAATCACTGATCTCGATGAATTTATCAATCATGACGTCATTTTGGTAAAAATGACGTATTTCTTGTGCTGTGAGAGGCAGATTGAGGAATTATTTAACAATAAAAAATATGTTTCATTATAAAACAGAATATTATTTACAGGTTTTAAACAGGCTATAAATAACAATGTATCCTTTGTTTAGTGCAATTATTCATTATCTATCGAGAGAATGTATTTAGATAATTTTGTGCATGTTTTTATGTTCAGGTTAGGTATATTATACTCATCGAGGTGCTTCATAAAATCGTTCTTTCGCAAGAACATACACAAGTAAATCTTAACCATTTTTTAAATATAAATAAAGGATATGTTCCTTAACTTGGAAAGTGCTAATGCTTTCTTTAAATCAAGAGCGTGAATTTATAAGTACACAAAATATTCTGTAAAAGTCAAACATATTTCGACATAGGCCTATTTACTTGAAATTTTAACTATAAAAACGCGAATTCTATTAAAAAAAAAGCAGCACTGTTAAGGAAGTACAAAGAATACAGAAACAATTAATGGCTTGAATTTTTAATTTGAAGTAGGGTATGCCCTTGCGATATTGAAATTTGTTAATGACCTACATTCAGAACACATATTATGCTTTTATCACGTGACTGTCCATCGATGGGACCAAACTTCATTCAGTACAGAGAAGGTTACATTATGCTATTTCCATAATTATTTACGTTCTGTGATAATAAAACAGCTGGTAAATTTAAAAGGTAGTTTAGATTTTAAATCATTAAGAACATGGACCCTAGCAGGTAGAATCGAGCTATAATAGAGAATTAAAGTTTTACATTGATAAATAACGGGAAAAACACATTAAAACTCTTTTTCTAAAGATTAACTAGATTAGCAAATCTTGAACTATGGGTCAGATGGAGCAACAATAGGGTTTTATTAATCTGTGAGTATATTTGAACACATAACATTTAAAAAAATTAATACAATTATAACTGTAAGTTTCGGGGGGAGGATTAATGGTTATAATTTATATAATTATATTTAATTTCACATTTTATCTTATTCCAATATTAATCAATATAATGGATTGATTGATTGATTGATTGTATATTGTTTAACGTCCCTCTTGAGAATTTTTCACTCATATGGAGACGTCACCGTATGCCGGTGAAGGGCTTCAAATTTAGACCTATACTCGGCACTCAGGGCCATTGAGCAGTGAGGGTTCTTTATCGTGCCAGCGCCTACCATGACACGGGACCTACGTTTTTAAGGTCATATCCGAAAGACCCGTGACTTTCACTTCTAGTGCCGAGCGCTTGGCGAAGGAACAGTCACTACCTTTGTTTACGTCTTAGGTATGACGCGGCGCCGCGATCGAGAATCGAACCCGGGCCTCCCGATCACGAAGCGAACGCTCTACCACTAGGCTACCGTGACCGGTATATAATGGATTGAACTACAGGCACAAATGCCTATGATCGTTTCTCTTTATAGGTGTAATGGATACCGTATAGCATGTTATTTTTGCGAGAGTCTAATTTGGCATACTTTAGCGTCCATGTGCAAAGAGCTTAAACAACGCATCCACTAATATAAATTACGTCAAAATTTTTTGCATAGCTAAGAGAAGACTTAACGTCAAGTTTTACACCCGCCATGAAAACCCTCTATATGGTATAACACTTTCTCCGTCATAACAGCTCAAGTTTGCAGTGGCTTTGAGTCATTTCGTATTATGTTGCCATGTGGTAAATGTTCAGGGTGTTGAAGCCGAATTTTACGCTGTACCACATGTATTGTATGTGAAGCCTTCACCTATTCGTATTCCAAGCTCAAGTCCTTTTTTAGCCAAGCAATGGCACATACTGACAAGTTAAATAGAGTACAGTTTTGACCTGTAACCAAGCTATTTCGTGATCCCTAATCCTTCACGATACTCCTATTTCTATTGTTCTTCTAGACTACTTTAAAGATATTTTATCGTAGAGATAATAAATAATACAATCTTTTTTTTGGACTCATTACATGTTTGTAAGTATTTGTTGTACCTATCACATGTATTATATAAAGGTAATCTACATGGCCTGTAAACCTCCATTTTTACTTTGCGTGCGTAAACATGATTTATTTTTTAACTATAGCACATGGAACATTGCTACAAGTAACACCACACAGAACTTGGAATCAACAACATCCTCTCCAGAAACATCATCCAATGTAGCAGAGATTTTGTGCGGTCTAGCTGCTTTCCTGTTAATACTTGCTGTTATTTTTACACTTGCTATTGTGTTTTGGAGAAGAAAAAAGAGTCAGAAAAATGGGACACATGAACTTCGTATTTATTTTGAAGATTGTCCGTATAGTCTGTATTTTTAATACTATATCATTCTTTTAATTTGATTTTTCATCTTCTTTTATTTTTGTTTAAGATGAAGTTAAAAAATTGGTTGCTCGAAAAGGGGGATGAAACCATAGGGGGTAATTCATTTCTAGAATTTTATTCTGTGATGCCTGTTTTTGATTTGAATTGAAGGGAATGAAATACTTTTATATTTAAGGGATCACGCTTAAATGTTAGGATGTAATCAAAACACTAAGGGAAAATGACAACACTACCAACAGTACGCGAGAACTGAAGGAGTGACACTATAAATGAAATATCCAATGTTCCTGAACAATTAGAACCACTTATTCTTAATTATGTTCCCAAACGAAATTGGGGAACATATTGTTTTTACTCTGTTTCTTATTCTTATGACGTCCCGAACGAAGTCGGGGGCGACATATTGCGATGGTACGTATGCTTTAGTTCTACAAGCTGTTTCTCGGAGATAGTTTGGATAATCTTCCTGAAACTTTCCTCAAAGGACGATCACTGGTTGTAATTGTGTTGTGTGGTCATTTAGTTTCAAAATGGGTACAGTTGCCATGGAAAGCTGCAAAAAGCGACGAATTTTGTACGAGGGCGTTCTCTCTGTTCCATTGGACATTCGTCATGAAACTTTATTGATTTAATGATTAGTATCTTGTAATTGTGCGTGTTGCAATTAAAAATTGCAAATTGTCAATAGTTTCCATGGAAACAGGGGAAAAATGAAAATTCTTTTACTTTGATTTTTAAATCAAAGTACCGAAAGGTCTAATACGAGTTGATGGTTGTCCAAGCTAAGCTTATGTTTAAGTTGTCCAGTTCCGGGCGACATACGCTATTGCTTGCAATAGCAGACTTTCTTGTTATCATTCTTCTTCCTTGGTACTTTTTTTCAAGAAATGATACCGTAAACTACACATCCAGTGAAGGTGAAACCTTTTCAGGGTCAGTAGGCATGTTATGTAGATTTGCGGAACGAAGGTCATTTTGCGCACACGTGCTTGCAAGAGCGCGTACGTGCAACACCAAAAATGACCAATATGATTGATATATGTGTTAACTATTTAAATTATGGATGATTATTTTTAAACTTATAATATAAGGATATAGTAGTAGTGTAGACAAAATGACATGGTCTAAATAGTAAGATATCACGCGCAAGCACATGCGCTTCGCTCTGATTGGCTGAAACTAAAGTCTCATTATCTTTCTTGTATTTTGACAAAACCCTTTTAAATTTTGAACATACTCATACACTATGAAGACGAACAGCATGAATTTTTTTTATTGATTTTTTAGTATAAAAAGATACGTTAATGGTTTAGACAACATGCCATGATAATCTTTAAAAAGCGTGCGCGTGCAATGCTTTAAAGCATAAAAAAGTGAGTTGGGGAGCGTTTGGAGAACATCTGTAACGGTACCCGTTATAATTAAAACTAGTTTAAGCAGATTCTGTCTCTTTCTCTCTCTCTTTCTCTGAAAAAAGGGGAATAATATTTGATAAAGCTTACTGCATTGATTGAGGATGTTTTTATAACAATTAATTACTACAATTTATACTGATTGAAACCAAGATCATTACATAATTAAACAGCTTAAGTGAGGATTCTTACAGCAGCAAATCTCCTGCACGTACTATGCTGTCCTACATTAAAGGTAAAATTATGATAAAAAAAAGGTGTGAAATTTGCTTCATTTAATAATTCTAAGAATTAGGGGCATTGTTAGGTCACATGATTCCTATCTGCTTTCATTCGCCGTCATGCATCGTGTGTAGTTCGACATATATGTGTCTTAACATTTGAACACTTTCATTTTCTTATTGAGATAATTGAGATATTTTTTTTACATTCACTTTTACAACACCGCGCCCCCCATTGCATACGTCGTACTTTCATACATGTAATTCACGAGTGTATTCATTGTGAGAAGACCTTTCACAGGGGATACATTTTTTGTTTTTTTTAACCTTGAACTGACTGTTTGACCCTATTTTGAAAACTTTAACCATTGCCATAACTTTTTTAGTTGAGGTTGTACGTACTAGTGCTTTCGTATGTCACAGTTGTACAGTTGTATTTCTGGTGACAACATTTTACTTTGCAAACCAACAATTTTGACCTTTTAACCTTGACCTTGGAGTTTGACTTGCCTTTGAGAAACTTCAATATTCGCTATAAGCTGCCATACAGGAGCATTAGTGTTTCACAAACACTTCTTGTTAATGTCTCTTTTTATTCGAGGGGTATATTTCTTGTGTTTATGGTTATAGTTAAAAGAATGAGTTTTTTAAATCAAGCAGATAGACGAAAGTAACTTTTTTTTTAGAAATACATGTAAAAGATGATTTATTAGGCAGCCCAAAGTTAATTCTAAGTTTGACGGGTTTTAGAGAATTTTGCATTTCGGGGAAAAAATAACAAATCGGAATATTTTGAGTTTGTACCCTAGTCTCCTTTTTTAGCAAGTAAACTTACATTTAATATGCAGAATTAACATTTGAACACTGTTAAAGGGAAATTTTACTATATCTCTCAGACTAACAGATTAACTAATAAAACATCAACAAAAAGCCTTCATGATACACAAAAAATATTTTAATGTACGTAAATAAGTAAATACTACTTTGATTTAAATTTTTGTTTGTTAACTTTTTTTCTCAGTCATTCGTATATTTTGTCGTTTTTGGACGACGTTATTTAAATGTAGTATTTACATCAGCCAGTCTAAATTCTTTCCTTGTGAACAGCCACTGGGATTTTACGTCCAAATGCTCGAACACAGTCATAGGTCATTATTTATCTTCATTTCAAGAATCCGATTAAAATGTTTTTTTCTATTCAAAATATTACATGTACAACGTCAGAAATTATACAGTGTTATTATATTGATATTGACCTTTGTGACCTTTGTGAAGATCACGGAACATTACAGGTCGAATTCGTATCTGGGGATATGCATTTTATTTGTTTATGTTCATTGTTGTTTTACATATCCACGTGTTTTGCACTGTGACACTCGGAGCGATGCGTATATCATTCTGTTTTCCCTAACCTTTGCAATACAATACATGTACACAGTATTTACGGTAAGTTTGAACTAGCATCCTTGCACACTAACCCTCGGGAGTTTGGAAAATTGTGCGTGGATTGCCATTGGAGAATATTTTGATATTTTGAGCTTGTATACTGATATAATCATGCATTAATAATTTTTTACAGAGGTACATGTACAAATTCACAATGACATACTGCCATAGAACTTTTTGATTTGTCTAAGGAATCACGGTCTAGTTTGTATAGTATGCCAGGGCATCAACGGTAGTGGGAAACATAGTATAACTTGCAAAAGGGTCGAAGCCCATTATGCATAAATTATCCCATGTTTCCCCCTATCTTTGATGTCCCTGACATACTATACTAAGTAGAAAATGATTCCTCATATTTCTATTTCATTGTGAAATAAAATTGTTGATTTTGACTTAAAAATAAAAACATAGATTTAAATTGCACAAGGACTACCATGCCGATTTCAATAGTACTCACCTCAAACACAAAGGCAGCTGTACGAGATTTACATGCATATTTGGCTTCCTTAGCTTCAGACACAGAGAAAGATGCGCACGAGATTTGCATGCATATTAGGCTTCCTCAGTTCCTGAACTATTGACCTGCCTAATTTACATTCCGGTAGAATTATCAAGAAATCGACAACGCTAACTTTCAAAGATTTATCACGGAGAAAAAAAATAGAAATGGAAATATATATATATATATATATATATATATATATATATATATATATATATATATATATATATATATATATATATATACATGTACAACTTTAAATAGAAATGGTAAACTGAGTTTAATATCTAGCGGGGACTATATTTTTGGCGGAACTGTGGCGTATGAAAATATCTCCTTTTCTGCCTCTCAAAATTATGATAGAACAATGAATTTAGATATAATTTTTACACAATCGAAGAAATTTTCAAACGTAAGTTAAATTAATACTGGGGGACTAAACTTTCAAAATATCTCAAATACAAGTCTAAATATGGTTTTTCAAATAAACTAGAATTATATTAGCTTTTAAATGCTTCCTATCAAAGTGCATATTTGAGCCGAAAATCCATAAAAAGTATTTTTTCTCTCATAGTAAACGGTCAAAACGTTTTGTTTTTGTATCGTTTTGTACATTTTTAAGACTACTTTATTATATGTGAAAATAAGAAAACGTTAAATATAGGAAGCATGTGAAAATAACTTATATTATCTTTAAAAAATTAAGAAAAACAGAAAAATTCGGATTTGCTAATATCCAGTTTAGTTAAATTATTTATGTAAATTTGGTAATATCATACTATTGACCCAATATAGGTATATGTTTTTTATGCAAAAAGAAGAATCTTTAAACTTCTGAAATAAAAGTAGGTATCAGATGATTGGCAACAGTATTTTTTAGTTCTTAATGTCAAGGAAAAAGATAATGACCTTGACCTGACCTTGCCTCTAATTTAAAACGGTTAAATTTAATCTCATTGATACTATCACTTACTGATATTGTCTTTTTGATTCTGTGAAAATTTCCTTAATTTTTAAATTTTAAAATATGAGAAGAATCCTACTTTAACATACATCTTTAAAAAATCGTTCACTTTAGTTGAATTTTACCATCGGGGCATTCAAATGTAACTGTTTTAAGACAATAGTGTAAAAGTATTACATTGGGCGATGTATTCTTATAAGCGCATTTGGCGGAAAAATACTTCCGCTAATTCGAGTACATCTCTTATTGTCTTACATATTGATACATGAATTAGATACATAAAATGCATTTCCAAAATAAAAACAGAAAATCTCTCTTTCTGTTTTAAGCTTTTTGTCCTCAGGTATTGACGAAATCAAACAAAAACAGAATTTTATATGATATTTATAAAAGAGTTCAGCATGTTTCTAGTATATAAACGATCTAGAGTCAAAACCAAACTGATTTGAAAAAAAAAATGGAGGGAAGATGGACAATGCATAATTACATAAAACGAGCGCCAGATTTTACTGGGTAAATTTCCCCTTAAAGACAATAACTGATACAGCATTTATGACTTGAAACATCTTAAAGATACATTTAGAAAAATTTACAGGGTAAAATTACTCTCAGAAATGTCATTGATACAGTTTATACACAGTAAATCAAAGCCAAAGCAACAACACTGACGATAGTGAGATTTTACGGGGTAACCCCCCCCCCAATGAAAATCTTCGAAACAGTATTATAAACTTGCAATATTTTAAAAGCCTACAGTTGAGAGGAACTTTCTTCTCAAAAATGGCAATGATACAGTTCATATATACAGTAATTCAAAGCTGAAGCAAAATTTCGATGATAGCAGTACTTAACAGGGTAAATTTCCCCCATGAAATTCAATAAATACAGAATATATGACTAGCAACATTTAAAGATAGCAAAAATCTACGAAGCAAATTTCCTTTCATGAATAAAATGGATACAGTCGGTATACAGTAATTCAAAGCAAAAACAATTATTTTGATGATGGCAATACTTTACGGGATAAATTTCCCCCCAAAGAAAATTATTGAGACAATATTACTAACTTGCAACATCTTAAAAACCCACAGTCGAGAGTAAATTCCCTCTCAAAAACGACATTGACACAATTCATGTACAGTAATTCGACGCAAAAGCAAAAATCTTGAAGATAGCAGGATGATTTTACAGAGTAAATTTCCCCCAAGAAAAGAACTATAGCAGCATTAATGACTATCAACAATTTTAGATAGCAAAAATCTACAGAGTAAATTTCCTCTCAAAAATGACATAGATACAGTTAGTATACAGTAATTCAAAGCAAATACTATTATCTTGATGGCGGCTAGACTATACCGGGTAAATTTCCCCCAAAGAAAACAAATGAAACAATATACACCACTCTTTGATTGAGTGAATATTACAATTTGAAAATAGCCGAACTCTGCAGAATTAACTTCCTTCAAAATGACAGTGAAGCAAAAGCAACCATCCTAATAGTAAGTCTTTACAGGATAAATTTCTCCCCCAAAGAAAACTATTCACTAAAACATGTACAGTATTCATGATTTTCAAACATTTCGAAGATAGCAACAATCCATAGAGGCAATATCCTCTCCAAAAACGATACTGGCACAGGTCATGAGTTTTTTTTTTTAAAAAGACTCCCATCTTCAAATATCATGATTTTAGAAGGTAAATTTTCCCCCAAAATATCACTGATATACAGAATTTATTACTTGAAACATCTTACAGATAACAAAAATCTACAGGGTAAGTTTCCTCTCAAAGAAACATTGATAGAGTCTATACTCAGTAATGCAAAGCTAAAGCATCTGCATTGATGATATTGAGACTATACGGGCTAAATCCCCCCCCCCCCCCAAAGAAAATTATTGAGACAGTATTGATAACTTACAACATCTTAAGAAACCACAGAGTAAATTTTCTCTCAAAGACGACTTTGACACAATTCATGAACACTATTTCAAAGCTAAAGTAAAAATCTTGATGATAGCAGGTCGATGAATTTACAGGGTAATTTTCTCTTCAAGAAAATCAATAGTACAGTATAAATGACAAGCAACATTTTTAGATAGCAAAAATCTACAGAGTAAATTTCCTCTCAAAATGACACATACTATAATGTTTGCTTTTTCGGAGATGGTTGAATACTGTTTATTTAATTTCTTTTGGGGAAATTAACCTCGTTAAGACTTGCTTTATGCAGCGTGGTTGCTTTTGTTTAGAATTACTGTTTATAGTGTGTATAAACTGTATCTATGTGTCATTTTTGAAAGAGAATTTACTCTGTAGATTTTTGCTATCTTAAAATGTTGCTAGTCATACATGTATATACTGTAGTATTGATTTTCTTGGGGGGGGGGGGGGAATTTACCCAGTAAAATTTTTTTTACTTAAGCTTTGAAATAGCTTTGGCTTACTGTGTATAAACTGTATCAATGACATTTTTGAGAGGAATTTTACCCTGTAGATTTTTCTAAATGTATCTTTAAGATGTTTCAAGTCATATATGCTGTATCAGTTATTGTCTTTGAGGGAAAATTTACCCCGTAAAATCTGGCTCTCGTTTTATGTAAATATGCATTGTCCATCTTCTCTCCAAATGGTTTTAGATCAGTTTGGTTTTGACGCTAGATCGTCTATATACTAGAAACATGCTGAACATTCTAGTAAATATCGTATAAAATTCTTTTTTTTTGTTCGATTTTGTCAATACCTATGGGCAAAATGCTTAAAAGAGAAAAAGAGATTTTCTGTTTTGATTTTTGAATGCGTTAAAATGAAATGCGCTCATTCAAATTTACGCTAACTTGTTTAAAATCACTTTCCGATAAATATCGTACACGCCAAATGTACATGTTATACATTTACAGTTTTTTTTTCTACAGTGAACATTCCAATGAATAATGTTATGAGCAACAAAGATAAACGAGAAGAATTTCTAAACGATCTAAAAAAGGCAGGGGAATCTTTAAACAGCACGAAACAAACACGTAACAGTGTAGATCACGTGACGTGGCTCTGGATATACTCGGATTACGCTAGACCTGACATCGTGAGATCCTGTATAGGTCTACATCCACACAATGACATTTACATCATCGACAACAAACCTTACAGAAAACCAAGTAAGAAGGAAACAAGATTATCTTTCCAGAAATTTAAATGTTACCTCTGTGGCTTCAATATTATTAGAGAATTTAAGAAAAAAACTATTTTTATCAGTATTGACCTGTTTAACATTTCCTAATACTTTAGAGAATATATCATTTAAAGCGTGAGGAGTCCGAGCTTCATAACATTATTACACCAATAATTTCTGCAATGCGATTCAATTCCACTGCTTTTAAAAAAGATTGAGTAAATGAGAAAAAAACATGCATAAATAGTTTAAATACATGTAACAGTCCAAAAAATTAACGGGTAACCCCATCGCCCCTACAAAAAATTTTCATAATTATAAAAAAAAGATTTAGATATTCGATTTCCAGGATAACTTATTCATTGGAGCTTGTGGAGGTACTGGGATAACTCAATCCGCTATCCCTTTTGTTATATAATTCCTTGACATTTTATTTCCAAAGGATCTTCCGGACCTGAGCGGCTAACAGGTGTTGGGGAGTAGCGATCTTACCCATCCTGTATAAAGTAAACCAAGACAGTCAAGATTCAGCTTTCCACTCTTTATTAAAGTAAACAATCTATTTAATATTGATATTTACAATAAATAATTTCACACAATATAATAAACATTCTAATACTTTTATTAGATAATACTACTTTTAAAATAAAATATTTTACCCTGTAAATAAAATAATCCATGTGAAACTTTAATAATTTGACAAAAACCGCGCAAGTCTAGAAAATTATATCACTGTATGAAATGCAGTTTTCCACTGAAATCCTGTCGTGAAGATCGTCTCGCAGTGGATTCGATTTTGCCCTCGATTTAAGACATATTTTAGAATGACGTAACAGGTTGTAAATGAAAACTTGTCGTCACCTCTGTCACAAACTGAGTGTCGGTTCTAAGCTATGGGATTCACAGAGGTCACTTATAGGTAAGAAGAATATCTGTATTATCTCATTTTTACGCAACTTTTCACCGAATTTACAGCACATTTTGGCTCAGAAAAAATAAAGCAAAAGCTTGTCTATCTGCCAGATTTATACATTCATATACTAGTGTCAGTATTTGACTTATTTTATGTATAAAAATCTCAGATAGGGAAGCACGTGCTCTACGTATATTTTTCCAAAGAATATCTCAAATATAATGAAATTCCATCAGAATCGGAAAACGCCTACATCTGCACCCTCTTTTGGCCTCAGAGTAAACATTGAATCAAACTTAATGCTGGTTTTAAAACAGTCATCAATTTAAGTTCTTAACCACAAACAATCGCAATTTTATATCAATGTTCTAAATTTAACATCAATCAAGGGTTCTTAACCACACACAATCGCAATTTCATCAATGTTCTGATTTAAACATCAATTATGGGGTCAGATTCGGCTTCTACTACACCCTATCTTTTCTTAAATTTGTATTTCTTCATATTAGTGTTTTAATGACATATGTTCAACCAAGTGAGATGTTAACAGATGGTCGGCTCTTTCAGAAAACGTCAAATCTGTTGTCGCGATCATTCGACGAACTTGGGCTGATTCTGTCGCCTTTGTTATGTATGTAGATAATAGATATATCGGGTCGGAAAATCCCGAAAAGTTGCGATTGGTGTTCCAGTTGTTATCGAAAATAGAAAGGCAGTAAAATCATATCGAAACAGAATACATACAAGCTGAAAAGCTTGAGCGATATGAAGATCAATTATTTTAATAATAAAAATATTTAATTTTTTTTTTTAATTTATATATATAAATAAAAAAAAAAAAAAAAAAAAAAAAAAAAAAAAAAAACAGCTTATAGTTTCGAATTATTACTTGCCAATTCCACTGTTTGTTTAGTCATAAATTTTACGAATCAATTGGAAATCTTCAAGAAAAATATTAAGTCGTTCGAAAAAAAACATAACCAATTATCATTCTTGGCCCTGAAAAGCGTTTTAACCAATAAAATAATTGAAAATTTTCTCAGCATGCAACTTCTACCTATCTCAAAAGAGAGGAAGGGTATAGTCCGAAGACTTTAAAAAACTTGTTCTAAGGTAGACGGTTATAATTACAAATGCAGAGATCAAATAATCTTTTTATTTTAGATTTATTACATTCTTATTTTAGAAATACGTAATAAACTGTAAGTCGGATCCTCATCCCTTCTATTAATCGGAGTATTTCATCGTTGATTAAAGTAGTAATTGAAAAGGGTTGTCCTGTCCTTATACACCTATGTACAATAGAACTCTATACATAATTAAGAAATGTATGTCAATCTTTCATTTATTTTACGTATTTCTTTCTCTTCATTTTAGCTCACCCGAGCTGAAGGCTCAAGTGAGCTTTTCTGATTGCATTTTGTCCGTCGTCCGTCTGCCTAGCTGTACATCCAGCTTCTCCGTCCTTCTGTCCGTCTGTAAACTTTTCACATTTTAGACTTCTTCTCAAGAAACACTGGGCAAATTTTAATGAAACTTGGTGCAAATCATCCTTTGGTACCGGGGAGTTTAAATTGTTAAAATAAAGGGTCAAGACTCTTCACAAGGGGAGATAATCAAGAAAGGACAAAAATAGGGTGGGACTATTAAAAATGATATTCTTTTCAAGAAGCACTTGGACAGAAAATCCGAATTTTATGTGCAAGCATCCTGGGGTAGTGTAGATTCTAATTCGTATAAATCATGACCCCCGGGGAATCGGTTGGGTCAAAGTTTTACAAAGAAATATGTAGGAAAAAAAATTAAAATATTCTTCCTAAGTACCACTTGATCAGAAAATCTGAGACTTATGTGGAAGCATCCTGGGGTAGTGTAGATTTAAAATTGTTAAAATTATGAATCCGAGGATAGGACGGGCCGGGCCACAATAGGGAGTCAAAGTTTAACATGGAAATATATAGAAAAACACTAAAAATTTTCTCCTCAAGAACCACTTGGACAGAAAAGCTGAAACTTATGTAGAAGCATCCTGGAGTAGTGTAGATTTTCAATTGTCTAAATTATAACCCATCTGGCAGGGTGGGGTCACAATATGTACAGTGTATTACAAGGGGTAAATTTGGTAATGCACAACGTAGTCGAAGCTACTCAGGTGAGCGATGTGGCTCATGCCTCTATGCTTTGTAATTTATTTTTATCTATTAGCTTGGTGTTTTACTTATTCATGTTTTTTTTCGTTTCAGGTAAATACCATGGCTATCAGCCGGAAGTCAGATGTCTTTTGTACTGCTTACTGTTAACTGAGAAATATCAGCTGAATCTTAATGAACAATCACACGAAATCATAAGGAACAAAATCAGAGAAAGATATTTCCCCACGGTTACTTCAGAAAGCTCATTAGATATACCACAGGAAGTCACAGAAACACGTGACGGTGTGATAACCTTTATATTAGACGACATCAGACATGACGTCATGTACGCCTTTGTTACGGAGTGCCTGGTTGGTGACGATGATCTGGAGTTTTTCCTGACCACGGCGTCACAGGACGTGATATCAGAATACTGCCGGTCCTGGGATTATAAGAGGAGTGAGGGAGAGAGATGTCTGTATGTACCGTCCAGTCCCGAGAAGATGTACGACCTCTTCATAGACAAACTACAGCTATACATCATCACACACAGTACCATGTCTGACAGGGGGATTCATAACAGGATCAGTCAACGTTGTAAGTATTTTTAATTTTGAATAATGCTTTCCCCTAGCAACTAGTTTCAAAAATTTACATAAAAATAACTTATGTATTGAACATCAAAGTGAATCAGGAATTTAAGTACATATTCAGCTCATGCGATATTTGTATTTCTTCATCTGTGTTACTTATTTAGTATTACAAACAATACATTTTTCAAAAAAAAAAAACCCATCATAATTACTTTACCTTTTTATATCTACATCAATACCCTAAAATACCTTATTAAGGTAAGTTATAAACGACACAAACCATTGAACTGGAAATCACTTTGACTGGTCGCAGGCATATTCCGGGGTTCGTTGTTTTAGTAATAATAGTCCTTCCGTTAAAAACATATATTTGTTGATAAATGTGCTTTTATATACTTGGCTGACAGGTCGACACATTATTAATATAAAAATTCGATATTATACATATAGTTCATAGATCGACAGGTTTACATTTTCGTAAATGTGTATTTCGAAGTTTGCCTTTATTATTTTGTACATATATTTATATTAAAATATAGTTTAATAATGATATGAATATTTATAATCTTTCAAAAAAAAATTAAAAACAAAACCCATGCAGATTATGTGGATGGTACTATTTTCGGCTTACCTTGTACTCAAGTAAGTTATGCAACTACTTATCTGTGCTACATTGCTTACTCAATTTTTTTTGCAAATAAAATTGTATTTTTAAAAACCCAAAAATTAAATATTTTTATAATATATAAATATAAATATTAGAATATTTCAAGCATCAAGTTATAGAAATGCCTTAAATGACAACGTTTAATATAATATGTAAAATAAGCTCTCTCAATTCAAAGTAAACTTGCAAAATAAATCACATTTTTTTGGTTTAGAATTATAAACTGAATATTTTTTTGCAGTTAAAAATATGCAAAAATAATCAATACTTTTATGAAGTCGAATTTCCCAATAATACTTATGTCAACGTGTCGACCTGTCAGCCAGTTATAAAAGGACGTTTATCAACGAATGTACTTTAATGACTTCAAACTTCACTGTGATATTGATATCAATCTGTCGTTTTGTCTACTTGTCAACCACACAGACATTGTAGCATGTTTATGAATAAATGTTCTTTTATGACTTTTAAATACACATTTTTAATAATATCACCCTGTCGTACTGTCGGAATTGTAGTATTCAAATACGATAATATGAAAAATAACGTAGACAATAACTAGTGCACAAATATACAATATTCCAAAATTTTAAAACGTTATAAAATTTAAAGTTTAATATTTTGAACACTTAATGAAATAGTACCGGTACTTCATATTTGCTTAATACGGGTGACTATTTTTTGTCATTCAGGAGAATATTAACTGTGACATTTATTTGCATCATTTAGTGAATATACCTGAAGAGGTATTAAGATGGGATATCCATGGTAGAGAAAGGTTTGTGAAGAACTCCAAGCTAGGAAGCGTACAAATATTTCGTGCCAGAGGCATGATAGTTGGATGCACAGGGGCCGGAAAAACATCGCTTCTTAGAAAGCTTCACGGAAGAGAGAGAACAGATAAGGATAAGCCACCTGAGACAACCATAGGTCTTGAGGTCCATGAAGATTTATTTGCTATTAAGGAAAACAAGTTAACAGGTGATATCTTCTTTTCTTCAAACAGTGTATACTTGTATGATGTGATTTTAGTATACATGTATATGTTTATTAAAGTAAACTGAAGTTCTAGTTTACAATCCTTTCGAATAATCCCGCTTAAGTTTCTCATTTGTTGAAAACTTCCAATATCAGAATAGATTAGGTGAAATTCTTCGGAAAATCGTCTAGCATGACTATTTAGAACTAATGTATAGGAAGTTAAGAGATGACTAGTTGACTACCATAAATATAGCAAACGCATTGCATTTCACCACCATCTAGGTGACCAAGGTATTGAAATGTTAACATATAATGTTAAGTCTAATGAAATGTTGAGGAAAGATTTTTGTCAGGAATTCTCTTTTAGTGCTACTATACATTTGTTGTCTATGTTCGAGGGCAACATGCGTTTTGTCGGACCCAAGAATCAATCTGTCAGACAGTTTGGTTCCAGGGTCGACAAAACGCATTTTTCCCGAGAACATATTCAATAAATGTTTTGCTATACTTTTCACATTAATTTTTTTTACATACATGTATTTTGTACTGTCTTTCGTGAGGTAACATCAGGTCTGTCACTTTTAAACACCTACGAATGATAATAAGATTAAGATCCGCCCACTCCGTGACGTAGCCGGTCCAACATCTCATCGAGCGGTACAACATCTCACTCAGCGGTCTAACATCGATTTTTTATGCCCGCTCAGCGAAACATTAGAAATGTTAAACTTTTTCCGTATAGATTTAAGAGATGAATGTAATATTTTTTTTTCATTGATCGAAGTATCAAAATTAAAAATTTGACGGAAAACGTCATCAATGCGCTACGCGCATTGATGAATACATTTTATTTTTTTCTATGATACTTCGAATAAAGAAAAAAATATTACATTCATTTCTTATCATTTAATATGATTTTGAATTAATAAAATGAAACTTTCTTTCACTTTACTATGAAATTTAGGCATCATAAACAGTGCGTGTGAATATATTACAACAGCGTTAACGTTGCTGAAATTCAAAATGGCTTAGCCTATACTTCCTTGGCCTAACGAAAAAACAAGTTCTCAAATATTGTTGTGTCATTACCATCCTTCTCAAAAAAATATTAACAGTTATTAAACACAAAAAACTTAGATGTTGTGTTATTATATTTTGCTATATCCCAATTGGCATATTTCCCCCTGTAAGTTCGTAAATGTATAGGGAAGCTACTCAAATATCCTAACAGTTGTACTTCTAGGTCACAGAAATTTTGGATTTCCTATTCGCTCCTTTTTATCTGAGTTTCAATTCGAACATATAAATACGTATTACAACCTGTCAATGCTGTAGAATCTGAAAGAATCTGTTGCCGACTGTAAAAAAAAAATCGGTCCTCATTCATGCGATGTCGTTTTTCTCGATCTTTTGTTTCCTAAGAATTAACACATTAACGTCATTTTTCCAGCTTTAGTAGCATGAAAATATTTCTTCACTGTTTTATTGTTCATACCAGTTATCCCAAAGACATTCATTTAACATAAGTATGCTGATTTCCTTCATTCTTTCCAATAACTGTATTGTTGTCATGCAGACGATGTTGGTTTGTTTAGCAAAGGGGGATAATTCTAAAAAGAAAGGAAAGTAGGAAATAAGTCAGAAACGTAACGGACAGATTTCGAAATATCTATTAAAGTAAAGCTGTTTAATTATTCCTTCAAGAAGTAATCTGGAAGCGGGAAATATACGTGTATAAAGACTAAAGACAGCCAAAGTAGTTCCGGCTGCTTAGTGCAAGCGAACTCAAGATTTTTTTGATGCAGTTATCAAAACATTTTTTTATCTAATGGCAATCAAGTATTTTATAGAAATTAAATGATTTGTATAGGAACAAATTTCTAAAGGTATAACAAATTATTTTCCTCATTTCCATACTCAAACAGGTTTTAGAAATGCAAACAACAGTACAAATCCATACCTGGACAACAACGTAATAAGCATGACCGACTTTGCAGGACAAGTAGCGTACTATGCATGTCACCAGGTTTACCTCTCAAGAAGAGCATTTTATATCGTGGTCATTGACGTGTCCAAAAACCTTGATGAAGAAAGCCGATGGTATGACACAGATCGTCATGACCCAACAGGATCCTTATTTCAATCATGGACTTACAGAGGTGATATTATCGATACTAAATATATCTGCCCCCAGTCTTAATAAAAACAATCATATATTTTATTATATTTAATCAGAATCAGATTCTCTAAGACCAATTTTTTCTTTACATTTGTGAAATCATGAGCTTCTTCTCCTAGGTATACTTTTTATATGTCGGTCTTTTGTATTTATGAAATAAGTGTTTTGCAGATCTAGAGGGTCTATAAATAAGCTTTGTTATTGAGGTTTATTGTAAATATTGAAAGACAAAAATCATCCAGACACTCCCAAGCAATACCAATGAATAGTAGGAGAAGCACCAATAACATTGTATTTTTAACATGTATTTTTTTTACCTATATTTACATAATAGTAATTCAATGTAAAGGGTGATGAACTTGCACACCAAAGTTAACACCGAAGTGGGAAAAAAAAGCAGTGTGCATTATTATCTTTCAAAAGAAACATAAAAAAATATCTTGATAAATAAAAAGAAGAAAATACAGTGGACCCTCATTTATCCGGACGCTTTGGTTCCCAGTCAATTTGTCCGGATATGTGAAGCATCCGGATATCTGAATCACCAGTTAAACAAGACAAAATAACATTTGAAAATTTCGTTCCGATGAAAAATCGTCCGGATACTGAAGCAACCGAATATCTGGCGTCCGGATATCTGAAGGTTCACTGTATCAAATATAATGCAAATGAAACTTTTACCCGATTGACCACATTTTTAGATTGGGCATAATTCAAAAGGATAAAAAAAGATCATTACTGTAAAATCACACATTTTCATGGGGTCAAATTTTCGTTGGTGAAACGAGTATTATTCCTCTTATATAAATTATTATCACTGTATGTTTTACATGTATCTTTCACATTAAATTTTATATTTGTCCATTTCAAAATAACAAACTCTTGTGATTATACTTTTAAATGTGATCATGTGAATGGTAACAAGCAAATATTTAAAATCTGATGATTGCTTGTCTTCTTCATATCAACCCAGAAAGAGAACCTAACTTTATAAATGTGATTTTTTTTTCAAATAAAAATATTCATATTAAATTCATTGCAAGTTCGTATCCATATTTCCATGTATTTTTATCTGTAGAATACTTCCAATTTTGGTTACAAACTATAAATACATACTGCAATGATGGAATAACACAAAGTGATCCAAAAGACACGGCAGCAATCAGAGACTCCAGGGCGAATGTCAATTTACACCCGGTAATTCTTATTGCCTCCCATAAAGACCAGATGGTAAGAACAAAGTGCACCCTGTTAAAAAAAACTGTTCATGCGTGTAGCGTTATTTGCTTTTGAACCAACTTGATGAAGGAAACTTCATTTGCAGCTGATAAATGTATATTACTATAAAAATAAGAAATTCAAACCTGATGATGGAAAAGTTGAAGTCACCTTTTTTTATTATCAAGAATTGTTTTAGGTTACATGTACTATTGATCTCTTTTTTTACTGTACTAGTTACATGTTAAAAAAAATAAAACAAAAATTCTAAAGTAAATTTTAACATTTATACCAATTTCGCTAGGTTATATTTACTCGACGTACATGTATGAACGAAAATTTCTATAATCGTTAATTGATAGTACTACAATACACCTAAATATCGAGTTGAAAAACACACCTAATTACTAAATTTTAAGCGACTTATTTTCTAAAAACAGAATGGAAACACACATATTATACCAATATTGAAAATTATGTGTCACTCTGACTCGAAAGAGCTATTTTAATGATTTATCGACTCTTTACGTGTATCTGGGGCTTGTTATTATAGTATTCTAAGCAAATGACTCATTTGCAGTGTTTTCTTATGAAGAAGGATTTTGAGATAACGAACAGAGCAGACATTATCTTCCTTTTCTCTTTCATTTTTTATTTATTTATAAATAAATCAAAAATAAATAAAAAAAATGTTTTTTATTATTATTTTATGATTAAATTGTAAGCCTCAATAAAACTTCAACTTGTATTTATTCAATTATTTGAGTATTACTACTAACAAGAGTATTATTTGTTATTACATGTATAGAGTGTAGATAGTGATTCATTTAAAAACAAACAAATGGAAATGAAAGGGAAAACTAATTTTTAACATCCGATAATCATAGAGGCTACATTGTACGTAATTCATGTTTATTTATATTTATATATAATCTCAAAAGTTAACATTATAAAATAAACTTTGCTGGTTTTTAACACATTTAGTCATTTCCTTATTATTAAGCAGGTCGGAAATTTTAACACGTCAGAAACATTTTACAGCCAATTGGAAGCGTGTTTATCGAAAGAACAAACCCTTAAACGGCTTATATCTCCTTATCGATATTTTGAAGTAGAATGTCCACCTGAAGCATTGACTCAAAAGCAACAAATGACAATTGACCGTGTTAAGAAATGTATCGTAGAAACTGTAACAAATCTACCACATTGGGGGGAAGAAGTCCCTTTGAAATGGTTTGAACTTGAAAAAATTCTGAATAATGAAAAAGCAAATGGGAAAAAAATCATAAAGAGGTCACAATTAAAAGAAACAGCAAAACACTTTTCAATAGACGAAGATGACCGCAAGGATGTTCTCCATTTCTTGCATGAAATAGGAAAAATCTTATACTTTTCTGTGGATAAACTCAAGGATACAATTATCATAGATGTTCAGTGGTTTGTTGATGCATTCAAGTACATCATAACTAGGCCTGGGTATTGGCCTGAGATTTCGTATTGCGATATATTGCGATATTTGAAACTGTATTGCGATATGTATTGCAATATTTTTTTGTAATTTAAATGGCATTTTCTTACTACATTTACTTTAATTTAAATGCAGAATGGATATAAATTTGATAAGTTAACAACATGGAAAAAAATCTTGTTCATTTCATTTAAGTTATGCTATGAAATGTTCCCACAAAACAACTTCTGTCTTACTGCTTGGGTTAATTACAAACTTTGATAAGTCCATTTTTATATTTAATGACAAAATTCCTTAATCTAAGCATATTGCCAATATACCGATATTACAAAATCGTATTGCGATACGATATTTTTTGTCACTGTATTGCAATATATTGAAATATCGATCTTATTGCCCAGCCCTAATCATAACTGACGAAAAGCATTTTGCTCGGAAAGACCACTTAAATGCACTTGTTAATACAGGGAAAATTACTGGACAGTACATTAAAGATATATGGAAAAATATACATGGCAATCGAGATGTACCTTGTGCTGATACGAAAGTTAGTGTTGAGACTGATAGACATTATAATTCCTTGTCGCAATCTTACTTAAATCACAAAAATGAAATTTTACAATACATGGACAAACTTGGCCTGATGACAAGAATTGAAGGGCATCTAGGCGCTCACAATAATGAGGACATGTATTACATTCCAAGCATGAACCGAACCGACCTTTCTGATGACAGTAATGATGAAATCAGAGGACAACAAAAATCAGTAATGATGGTGTACTTTTTCAAGTCTTATTTACCCCATTTTTTCTTCTTTCGATTGGTGGTAAAGTGTTTGGGGAAATGGAAAGTTTGCGATGAAAATTCATTTTTTAAAAATGCTGCACTTTACATGGCAGAAGAAGCTGGTCATTATTTTGCGATCGCCGTTAGTAAAACATCAATCCAGTTACAAATATTTACACGTGATGAAACCGTGAAACTTGATGAAAAATGCGTCAAGAAGATCAGACAAACAGTGGAAGACTTTATTAAGGAAATAACGGAAACTTTTCACAGGGGAATATTTTATGATATTGGTTTTTCATGTAGCGACATAAAAATTACAGATGAAGATGAAGAATTCTTTTTGAAAGGGACAAACATTAAACGAAAAATTGGAAATTCGAATGAAATAACTTGTCCAAAACATTTTCGTGGGAAATTCAAACACAAAATAGATACATGTAAAATAAGTATGTGTTTATTGGAGAGAAAGTCAACTAGTGACAACTTAAACGTTTTTTCAGACCTTCAAAACTTTTATCGTATTTTTAAAAAAAAAATTGTGCTTCTGTACATAATTCCCAAGGGACAAAAAGGCAAAAAGACACACAATTAAAACTTAGTAAAGTATATCCTTACATTATACCTCTCTTAATCTTAAAAATTTGTCTTTAACATATTATTTTATATTTTTATCATGTATGCGATAAGCACCCTCCCTTATTTATAAATGTTTTTCTTTTGTTGTTTTCCATTTTGTTAGGATATATTGGCATGTTAACCGTTACACACAGAAATAAAATTATCTTTACCCGGTCTATGTTTACGGCTTTAGATCCTATAATCTGAACGAGTTTTAAAATATTTATGACTGTGTCTATTGGTTGCATTAACTTCTATGAGTGCATATGTTAGTGATCAATTCATTACAGAGAGTTGCATTACAGTCATATACGTAAATGAATTTGTAATTCAATGGTGTTATCTAAATTGGTAAGGCCATGCTCTATATATATTATTTCACTACTAGCAAGCAACTCTAATTTATCACTTTTAGAATATATATAATAATTAATAAATTAAAGACATCCACTTTAAATTCACTTTTCTTTGGAAAAAAACATTTTTGAAGAGAAACTGTAAAAAAAAAAATTACTACTGTGAAAATTTAATTTTGATCGACACATACATAAAAAAGTATACAACTGCAAAACATTAAATTTTGATCAATACATACATAAAAAAGTTTACTACTGTGAAAACATTTTGATCACCATATACATGTTATACTGTAAAACATTTTGAAAAATATATTTATTTTTAAAAACAGTATTTCAAAATAATTTTCTTTGAAAAGTTTGTATAGGGCAATTGTTTAAAAGATACATTATATCCTATTTTTCATGTACTTATATGTGCTTCACATGCATTATATTTTTTTTTATATTTCAAATCGATCTAGAAAGACATGTATGTGTACAGGGATATATTGCTGTGTTGTGATTTTATATTATCTTTAAATTCAAACTTGCTTTTTTTAAATTCATGATTTATAAATGTAATACAGTGGCGAATCATAGTATTATGAACAAAATGGCTTACTAATCCGGTATTATAACAACGATCTCGGGATAATTTATAGACAAGTATAAATGAATCTAACTTATATTTTGTGACGTTTTTATCTGATGTACATGTAATTTTCTTGTTCATTCGTTGTAGAAGTGATTTGTTAAGGTTCAGTAAACAATGAATGGGGATGGTGGTCCAATTTCTTTGAATTTCTAGTTTAAGGTGCTGTGTTGTTATTTTTGTTCGCACATTTCCTCAGTTATTTTTACAACAATAATTACAATTCTTAATAATGATAGCACTTGAGGATTTGGGAATGCAACAACATTGTTTGAACATGATTTAATTGTAATTGTAATTTAGGACAATCCTAGCACGATACACTGTCCCATTGTGGTTTTTTTTTAAATAAAGTCATTCTGTAGGAAATGCTGTGCAACAGCTGACTATAGTGCATTATCAATGATTTTTTAGTATTTTAAAACAATAATTTTGTCATTGACACTTCAGCAAATACATGTACAGCCGAATTAATTAGAATAACCCCTTAGCCACGACCCGAACTAATATATTGCGACATACCCTCATCTCTGCGTCTCTACAACACATATACAAGTTTACATTATTTACTCCAATTCTCACTTCTTCACTTATAACATATTTATATAAGAACAATTCCCGTACAAATTAGGCCATGCCTCCTTACTGTAACTTTAACTGTGCTGCGTGGATCTTGTTCATAGGCGTCGGAGCCGGCTTAGCCCCCCACTTATTTTTCCAAATATATACTAAGTATAAACATTGAACATTGCTTCGTACAAAAATGTAGGTCTAACCCCCCCCCCCCCACTTTCCACAGATCCGTCGCAGTGTATGTTAAAAAAGGGAAAAGGTGCGGTGTTTTGAAACAAAATGTTGGTACTGAAGTTCGAACATAACACCCCCCCCCCGAAATAGGATATTCGTGTTTGGGAAATGGACATTTTCTCTTTTGCTTGTCGGTTTTTTTTAAAGGTGTACTTTTTTATACTGAGCCCCTAACCCACTTTTCTAGCCCCTAACCCAATTTGCTTCCTACTCCAATATTGTTTAAAAGCAATGATTCATATCCCCGATATCTACTCTATCATAAGAAACAACTACTCATTTTTATGCAAAGACTAGGCTTGATGGCTATCGGCAACAAATCGCACTATGTTCCGTGCATGAACAGGAAAGAAATAGAGAATGCTATTCCTGATCTGATTCAGAGATCGAACAGTAAAACATCTGTCCTGATCTACAGGTTTAGCTTCTTGCCATTTTTCCTCTTTTTTCGTCTCGTTGTGTGTTGCATGCAGTTAAAAGACTGGAGAGTGTTAATAACTGAGGGAACATCCTGTCTGTATAGAAATGCGGCTTTGTTTTCTGTAAAACATTATAATATTGTTCTTTCTGTTACGGAGACATCAATGCAACTACAGATTCTTCACCCTGTTCCAGGATGTTCTTTAGAAAAAGAGAAAACATACAAAATTCAAAAAATTATAGAGGCTTTTCACACAAGCCTATTGTATGAAAGAAGCTTTAAATGTCGAGAAGATGGGGAACAGGTTATGTCTGTGGAATACGAAGGACAATTTGTGCAGGACAAATATATTTGTGAAAAAGATGGTGATATTATTTGTCCACTGCATCCAATTAAAGATCAGCATTTTATAAACACCACAGAAATATCAGAATTCTTGAACATAATCAAACCGTGACAGACCATCATTCGATAATACTGTTTTCATTTATTTGTATTAGACTTTTCGGTCGGTTAAAGACATTTTTTTCGAAAAAAAAAAAAAAACTCAGGTTGTTAAAATTAAAGAAATCCTATGAATGTTGATGAATTTACGTCAATTACATGTATGCTTGCTGTCAGACCTGGGGTCAATTACTTTGAAATGTAATGCATTACATTACAATTACTTTGGAATTTTTATCATTACAATTACAATTACCATTACTCTCATTTAGAAAAGTAATTAATTAAATTACAATTACTTTGTTAAAGTAATTAATTACATTACACATTACATTTTATAAGAGAAAAAGACAAAACGTATCACCACACAATTTATACCTAAAAATTAACTTTCACACTTTTTGCTCGATAATATGCTTTCCCTCAGATCTATAAATCAGAGCGGTATTTGGTTTTTGTATTCAAGTATCATGTTCATGTGAGTTTACCAATCCAATCTACAGTTCACAAAGAAAGTGGATCAGAACACTTTCAATGTTGTATTTTTGTTCAGTATCTGATGCTAGTTTCTCTGTTGTTTTTTGAATAAATGATTTATTGAACATTTCCTACTAGATATCATTACCGCTACATTTTAAAAATTTTCATTACCGCTACATTGTCATTACCGCTACAAAAAACCTTACGTTACCGGTACATAAAAAAGTGTACATTACCGCTACATTGCCTCTTTCGTTAGCCAGCCACTTTATGCGTGTACAGTACAACCTATAGATGTACATGTATGCAGAAGACCCAATCCTCCTGCTCACCACGGGGAGGTGAAAGTAGGACGTTGAACAGGATGGGTTTTTTTAAATTAAAATCAACAAGTAATTCGTCGAGGTCTGTTTTGCAGCTGCTTTTGCAACTCTTTTCAACGCATCTCCACAATTTTGAGTTTTTCAAAGTCTTATTTTTTTTCTAAATTTATTTTAAAAAATCAATAAGTAAGCCGGCATTCCCTCAATTTGTAACAAACTTCTCAATGGTGGCCATAATGTTCAGATGACGCTAAAATATATATTCTCATTCTCATAACTCATTCTGATTAGATAGTAAGTGAATTCTGTTGATTAGAACTCATGTAAACCGAACTATACCTGGCTAAATCGATATGTAGCGGTAATGAGTTGTTTTTGGCTGATTCAGTATGTAGCGGTAATGAGTTGTTTTTTGCCGGAAAAATGTAGCAGTAATGATCGGTCGAAAATCTGACAAAATGTAGCGGTAATGAGTTGAAATTTTTGGCAATGTAGCGGTAATGTTGACCTCCCGTTTTATGTAAACTAATATTTAATTTACAGATAATGCTATAAATGTATAAGGAGTATTAAAAACTTAATGAATTAATTAGCACTTCTAATTAGCTTCACAGGTATAATCAATGAAGCCATAAATTAAACACAACCAAAGGTGATAATTACAAGTACTTGGAAGCAGGGTTTAAATTTTGAGGCCTTAAGCTACACAAAAATGAATGATGGTAAATACATCAGTCTATATTTATATTTGGCCTTAGTTTCTCTTTGTGTCTACAATAAATCATACTGATCTTGTATCATGTTAACCAGGTCCATTTTACCAGATTGAAAAGGGAAAAAAATAAGAAAAATATAACTTGTATCTTTCTTTAAAATCTGATGATTTCTTTTAATATTTTTCTTTGGTTCTCTTCAATTTATTTTTACAATTGTCTTAATTGTCAAAAAGATTTCTATTAATTAAAAAGAATTATTTAGTTTGTCTATAAATTACCATTTAATAATATAAAAAATATTGTAGGATATAGGATTTTAATTTTAAGTTTCTAACATTATTAATAAAAAAAAATAACTTCTCAGTGATATTTATTTGTTTCAGATTCAAAAATAAAATGAGACTAATATATAAAATGTAATTGAAATGTAATTGAAAAGTAATTGGTCATTACAGACATTTTTTTAAAGTAATGCATTACATTACAATTACTTGTAATTGAAAGATGGATCCATTACACATTACACCCCATTACTTTGGAAAAATGTAATGATTACAATGCATTACCATTACACATTACCATTACCCCAGGTCTGCTTGCTGTCCAATTAGACTCTGGCCCTTGAACTAAATTTTTGTGAATTGTGAGAGGTCTAAGGATTTAAGGCCTAATTTTTAATTTAGTTCTTTTTTGTTTGCAATCTTTGTTCAGAAATTTACTTATAAAGCATTGCTTTTTTAATGTTATTTTTTATTTTACACCATTTAACCTCAAGATGCGCTTATCACTGATAGAAATTTTCAAGTAAAGTGCATGTACATGCAGATATGTAAAATTTGATGATATTATTACAGTACTGTAGTTATTTAGAGTAATAAATCGTACGAATTAAGTGATGACTATTGCTTACAAAAAATAATTTAACAAAGTATTTTCATACTCAATAACATATTTAGGTTACTAGTACTTTCCGGCAATCTTTGTCAATACATTCCCAAATGGCATTAAACCGCTCATGTGGTTTTTTTTAATAATACCAACTATAATTTAGCAATAAAGCGTCATGTTTTAAATTGATGTATTTAAACGTTCGAAATCTGTCAAAATGCTTCTGAAATCCCTTCCTTATTTCATAGATTTTATTTTTGGATGAACTATAATTAGGGTTTTTTCCATCGCCGCAAGTAAAAAATGTTACCGACTTTTTTAACGTCACTAGTACTTTTCGGCATTTATTATGAATTTATCTACATATCTCATTAAACCTCTCGGTGTCTCATTTAAATAAACTAGCTAAATTACGCTATATAGTGTCTTGTTTTTCATAATGACATTAAAAAAATTAAACTCTGAAAAAATGTTAATTATATATTCATTCATTTTTGCGTAAATATTAGTTGCAGGTGAACTGATAATGAGTGTTGAAGACAACTGTCATATATCCAAGTCAGTATCATTCTTGACGTACCACAGTAGAAAATCATTTCTGTAGAAATTTAATTAACAATTTACAATAAACAATTTACAGGTACCTCTTGGCTATTAAAATGATTTTTTGACAGACCCCTCAATATTATAAATATATATTGGGGACACTGTGCTCATGATCGAAGAATTTGTTAAATTTATTGTAAACAACAAAAAAAAAATCTTATGAGTCTTTGCTAGGTAATGGGTATATTAACTAGGTAGCATTAGTAAATTTAGATTTTATAACTAACTTTCACTAGGTATCTACGTATTTTTCCCTACCTTAGCTAGTAAACGAAATGTTTACTAACGGAGTTTTTGTGAAAAGCACCGACTTTAACAGTTGACGGTTTATTCAAACTTTTAACGAAATCCGTTTTAACTACAAAGGTAAATAAATGATTATGAATAGTAAAACCGGTCATAGATGTTATGTTTTGGGGCACCAGCATGTGAAGAGCGCTATTTTAGGATTAAGCGGTTGTCGGATCCTTTAAAGGCCACTTATATATCTATACTTATAAATTAATAAATTTTGCAAATAAACTCCGGGTGCACAGGAGTTCTTACTTACCCCTCTAATACTACCCTACATACAAGATGATGTCCGTAAACTATATTTAGATTTCACTCGGATAGTAAGTATCGTACATAAAATTTAAAGTCTACCTCAGTTTTCTGAAAACAGCCATGAAATAGCATCAACGTGAGTATTGTGGCGTTTCCGGTTGGCGGATCTAAGCTACCGACAAATTTTAATGAAACTGACAACAAACAATCTATTATTTATTTCATAAAATGTCATCACTAAATTATTCAATCAAAACTTGATTTAACTGATATAAAAGAAATAAGTTGTGGTAACCAATTAAAAAGCGAAAAGTGTAAATTATTTTCGTCAATCACCGATCTCAATATTGACGGAAGCTTCTAGAACATCACGTCCCTTTTGCTACAATGTTTTAATCAAGAAATAATTATAAATATTGTAATTAACGGGTTACAGTGTATTTGATTAAATAGTTTTACAACAAATGATGTTATATAAATTAAAATACAATAAAAACAATAGTTTTGTTAAAACGAGCAAAATATGCTTGGAATTTATAAGAAACGTATTGTTGCCTGGAAAAAAAACTAATATTTATTGATACAAGGATTATATAACTAGACAAATGGTACATGGCAGTACATCGTTGGATAGTTTTAGTATTCAGTTTGGAAACCTTGGAAGCCGACAACGAGGTATCAGAAGTGAATGACATATAAAAATATAATAAATACAGGAAATACATGTATCGTAAGACTAAAATAGATATGTAGTATATATATATATGATTTTTTACGAGTTTATCGGTAAAAACTATATTTTCCGTACTGAGAGCATCGTGGTAAAGAACCCGACGTACAAACTTAATTATGTTAATTGCGATCAATAAGAGAGAAAACTTACGAATAAGGTATTGTTCAAATACAATTAATTACAGCTATAAAGTTTTGTGCTTTAATAAAGACATTTCAGGTTTTTTTTTTCTCTTAAAAAATTTTTTTCTCCAATGCCAACTTCTTTCAGAACCAATTTTAATATTCAACACTATATTTCCCTTATATGATTTTCCTGCAGTATTAAGGGAAGGGGGGGGGGGGGGGCAACCAGCCTTTCGCTGAACATTTCTAATAGTAAAAGTATTGGTGGGAAAAAAGTGGGGGAGCCTTTTTACGTATCGATAAGGGTACATATATAATTAGAAACCAAGACCCAAGTACCTGTGAATTTTCACCCCTCCCCCAACTCCCCAAAATCAATTTATTTGTATATTATGTATATTCGTTGCTTTTATCCTTCATGAAAATGAAATAAGAACATTTAAAGTGCAATATCCATAACATTGTATGATTTTTGAAGACATAAACGTTAATTAAAGCATTTTTTTTATTTTTCAAGTTTTCACAAAAAGTGGGTGATATAGTGACGTACATTTCTTTCATGCGGACTTTTCAAGAAAGTATTTCTTCCCTCTATA